CTTCAGTGGTTAGAGCTTGAAGTCTCAGCGAGAATGTACAACAGGTGACAGAAAACACTCCATCAAATTCGGCGAGAGACGTGGTGAGAGATGTGACACGGGAAGCCTATATCGTTTTTTTCTTCTGATTTTTAGGCTACACATTTTATATTATCTTAGTGATTGCTTTTTTGTTTGAATCTTGGTTATTTCATTGTTGCATTTAATAATAATAATAGTAATAATAGTATGGACTTGGAAAAATAATAATAACAGTATGGACTTGCTACTGCTAATAGATACACAGAGACGCTGCTGTGAACATGTAAGATATGCTGCTAAATATACATAAATCCCATAGCAGAGGCAGGTGGAGCTGGGGAGGTGGAGGGGTTCAGATGAACTCTGATAGTTTACAGCAAACAATGAAACAGACTATGTAAATGTTGAGCAAGCAATCTCATTGGCTGCAGGATCAGCAGAAGCCAATCAGCTTGTGCCATGCGGTAATGATGTGATTGCTTGCAGATTGGATGTAAAAGACTGATCAGCCTGCGATAATAATAATAATAGTAAATGCAACAAGAAAATAACCACTGATAAAGAGATGTAAATAATATTGTTTGGGTGAGACTGACCATTCCAACAGATCTAAAATGAAGCACTGATGTCTGTTTGTGTCGTCTGTGATGAAGAGAACGTGTCTTTAAAGATGCGTCTAATGATGGATGAGTTTAATGAAAGAGCTGGAGACTGATCTGGACGTCTCTTCTCCCTCTGGCGCTGCCGGAAAGCTCTCTGAAATGACTGAATATGACTTTAGAGAGCTCAGGCCAACATGCTGACATGTACACCATTAAAACAGGTGATGTCTGTGTTTGATGGTGATGGCTGATGTCATGTCGCCCATGGGCAGTGGTGTGTGTTTTTTGATGAACACTTCATTTCATCGGTTGTGGGCCATATGAGTCAAGGTGCTGTAAGTGATTTCTGCCGCACCAAATGAAGCTGCAAACTCTCAAACACTCCCTCGACTGCTGTTGTTCAACTTGGCAAGAATTAAAGACAGTATAGAACAAATGCTATTATACCATAATGTTAAAGAAGTTTCTTCTGTTCACCAAGGCTGCATTTACTAAATACAAAAAAAAAAAAAAAACAGTAACATTGTGAAATATCATTACAATTTAAAATAACTGTTTTCTATGTGAATATATAGTAAAGTGTAATGTATTCCTGTGATCGAAACTGAATTTTCAGCATCATTACTCCAGTCTTCAGTGTCACATGATCCTTCAGAAATCATTATAATATGACAATTTGATACTCAAGAAGCATTTCTCATTATTATCAGTTTAAAACAGTTATTTTTATTTCAGGATTCTTTGATGAATGTTCAAAAGAACAGCATTTATCTGAAATAGAAAGCTTTTGTAACATTAAACACTACCGTTCAAAAGTTTGGGCTCAGTAAGAATTCTTTTTTTTTTTTTCTGGGGGAAATAAATAAAATAAATCAATAGTTTTATTCATCAAGGATGAATTACATTGATCAAAAGTTACAGTAAAGACATTTATAATGTTACAAAAGATTCCATTTCAAATAAAAGCTGTTCTTTTGAACATTTTATTCATCAAAGAATCCGAACAATTTTTTTACACAACTGTTTTCAACATTGATAATAATATTGAATGCTTTTTGATCAAATCCGCATATCAGAATGATTTCTGAAGGGTCATGTGACACTGGAGACTGGAGTAATGATCAGGGTTCCAAATTAACACCCGCCAACCCGCCAAATGCGGGTTAAAATTCATTTTGGCGGGTGTTAATAAAAACTTACTAGCCAGTTTGGCCGGTGATGCATAAGGTTCTGCTCTCGGTCATTTATCCCCCTGGCAGTACTTCCTACATTTCCCATAAACACTGTGCCGTAATGCTACGTGATGACGTTTCATACGCCCATTGGCTGCGCGCAGTTTGCAGTGAGACCAGCGCGAGAAATGATCATGGAAACAAACGGAGCGTACGCGTCCGTCCACCAGAAAACACAAGGAAGATGAAGAACGAGCCAGAGCAGGGAGCAGACTGAAAGAGGAGGGAGCTAGTAAAGTAGCTAAAGTAAAAAGTTAAGATTAAACTAAATGCGGCGGTGGTTGGGACAGACTTCTGGGTTTAAATTTAAATGTCGTTTAACGAGAGATAGCCTACGTTATTGTTTTTAAGTTTAAGGTTTTTGTCATTATTTCTTACAAGCTTATACATTATAGGCAATAGCCTATACACAACAAGCTTACTATATCTCTTAAGGTTTTCTTTTAGTTGAAAACATTAAACAATATGTGTAAACAAAATATATAAACAACAAAAGCATTTAAGCTCAGGCAGCGCAAACGGGGAAAAAACGCCAAAAAAAAAAGAAGCAGACTGCGCAGTTATCGTACAGAACGTAGCCTACATACTCGAGTCAGCATATGATTATCGTGTTTATATTGTTTCACGTTCATGTTGAGAAAAACAATAATATCCACATGCTCGAGTGAGAAAACGCGCTGCGCTGACACAGGCGTTGCAGAGACGCGCGCGCGTGTGTGTGTGCAAAGTGAAGTAACAGCACTTTGCGTTTTCTGTTCTTAAACCTGTCTCCCTCAACGAAACTTAAAGGAAGCATATGTCAAAATCATTTTGCTACCAGAAGATATCGGGGTACAGCTGCTGACCTGCAGTCGTTAATGCAGTGATGGACAGCTGCTTCCTCAGTCGACTGCTGTTTCTTTGGATTTCATGTGATTTCTCATTGTGGTGGTGATATTATGATAATAATAATAATTAATAATTGATTAAACGTAATTCCATTTTGTAATAGGCTATCATTTTCATCTAAGTAATTCCAAACTTCGCGAGGCAGACAACGATATTATGTGATCAAAAACACAATCCACTTGTTAAATGCTCCACCCAGTGCATTTAATTATAACTGCGAAAACAAATTGAAGAAAAAAAGTATTAGTATTAGTATTTTATTTTTTTAATAATAATTACAGAGCGAAAATTCGAATATTCGTGCACATCCCTAATAGAGATAGATCCCAAACTTGAAATGAAATGTTTGCACTTTCTGTCTTGTATTGTACTTTATATGTGTTTTTCATGCCAACAATGTTAATAAAATTATCAAATGCATTCAGTGGCACTCATAATTTCTCTTATTTTCACCGGAAAAAAATTGGCTAGTGGAAATTCTAAATGGCTGGTAACTTTAGAAAGTTACCAGCCACATTGGCTGGTGATCAAAAAAGTTACTTTAGAACCCTGGTAATGATGCTGAAAATTCAGCTTTGATCACTGGAATAAATTACATTTTACAATATATATAAAACAGTTATTTTAAATTGTCATGATATTTAACAATATTACAGTTTTTTTTGTATTTTTGACCAAATAAATGCAGCCTTGGTGAGCAGAAGAGACTTCTTTTAAAAACATTAAAAATCGTACCCATACAAAACGTTTGTTTTGTCAAAGTAGCCGGAGCAACTTTTCTCTATTTACGGATATGACGAGACAAGCACGGGCGAATGACGCATACACAATTTCCTGTGAAATCCAACCCATCAGGTCTAAAATATAAATACTTATAATATAAACATAGTGAATCAGGATGAGTGAATTTGGGAAGAAAGTACTTTCTACATCAATGAATCCTAAAAAAATGTATCACTGTTTCCACAAAAATATATGAAGCAGCACAACTGTTTTCAACACGGATAATAATCAGAATCGCTCAGTTTCTCGAGGATCAAATCATCATATCAGAATGATTTCTGAAGGATCATGTGACACTGAAGACTGGAGTAATGATGCTGAAAATCCCGTTTTGTAATAATATTTCACAATATCACTTGTTTTCGAATTTTGTAGTGTATTTTATGCATGATATTACCCCATAAAGAATCTGGGTGACCGTGTCACTCTGTTTTGGACAGAAAGTGATTGTGTCCCGATGGACAAAAGCACCAGATGTCGCACATTTCATTCCCTTTCTCATTCTCAATCAATCATTGCCTCTGTCGGCCATCATAACAGCTCTAAATGAGTCTCTTGCGCGTGTTTCTATCCCACAATGCCTGGCTTGAATTCTTGTACTTTCCCTTATTTATGAATCTAACAGAAGTTCTCTTCCATATCAAACACCTTCTCATGCGTCTCTCGACCTCGTCTTCACTTGGCTGGTACTTTGTGTGTGTGTGTGTGTGTTTTGGCTCTGACAGCTCATGCCAGTACACTCGTACATGAAGCTCGTACTCCAGGCTTCAGATCGACTGCTGGCTCATACACTCGCCCAGAAACACATGCCCACATGTACCACACGTGGCTCTGACAGACTCGGAAAAAGGAGGGAGGCAGATCCGTGTGGTCCCACAATCTGTTGCTTCCGCTTCACAACGACACCAGTAAAACCAGCACCTACAAACCATCACATCCAGTTATAGCTCAGAAGGTTGCTCTGGTTTATCAGATCATTCTGTTGCACCATTGATTGGACGGACATTGTTTTGGTCCTGAGACTTCCACAGAAAATATATGTGCATGTTTTAATATTTAGACCACTTCTATTATTGATTGCTCTTAGGACGTGAAGAGAGTTTCAACCAGAATAACAAAACGTGTTCATGAAAAAAAAAAAAAAAGTCCTACATCTTTATGATTTTTTCCCCATATTATGGTGATAAGAATTACATTATTTTTTCCATTATGATAACGAGAGTTTGGGGTTAGGAAAATAATGTCACATACAAAATGATTAGTCCGAAAATAACCTTCATTACATAATAAAGCCTGTTTTGTACATTTTTGAATTTTGGATTCTCTCACACACACACAAAATCACATTACATGTAGCCCACATATATATCCAGATAATGAACGATGATTCATCCTTTATCACTCAAGCTAAAGTTGAGTCTCACTTCTACCCACAAGCACACAGAGAAATGAAGGGAAGACAGAGGCTACTCACGATCATAGTAGGAATCGCAGCAACCAGAGAGTAGACGAGCACCGGCGGCACGTTACTGCTCTCATCCGGTCCAGGGTACGGTTTGGAGAACGTCTTGTCGAAGCAGAAGAATCCCTGGATGTGTACGGGAAAGGTGTCCGTGTACTCGAAGTAGTACGCCAGGAGAACGGTTCCTGCCATGATCACCAGCTGAAAATAGAACATGATCCACGCTTTACAACCAGAGATGAAGACGCTCCGCCACAGCCTGTGTGTTAGCGCACAATCACAGAGACACACACACTCACTCCGGTGTCGTGATACTGAGAACGTTACATGCTGTTCTACCAGGAACGCTTCACAGAGCGAGCGAGAAGAGAGTGGAAAGCGAGGAAAGATGTGGAGAGAAACAGCGGGGAGGGACAGCGTGAATTTGAGCCTGAGCACACACAAATTGGCTCACTGTGTGTGTGTGTGTGTGTGTGTGTGTGTGTGTGTGTCCGTGTGTTGGATGTGGATGACATTTTGGATGTGTGTGAAACACAACGAGGGTGTGAACACGCTCATTAGCGACTTTCAAAATGAGTTCGCTTTCATTCAAGCCTTTTCACACTACTGTATGCTTCTCATCAAACCTTTATCACACAAAGACAACAGGATTTGACACGAGCAAACCACAAATATAACTAGTGATATAGCTTATGATTTTTCTGTACTGATATCACAAAAGGCATCTGGTAGGGCTGAACCATTTGGGGAAAACAATTAATTGCGATTGCGATTTAAATGCATTATTTAGGCTAAAAAAATAAAAAAATAAAAAATCAGGTTTGCTTGTTTTAGGCCTGCATGATTTGGCCAACATTTTGTGATTATAATATTTCAATAGCCTATGTCTATACAATAATAATAACAACAACAATAATAATAATACTAATGATAAATTAAAGATCTAAAAATTACTCAATATATAAAAAAAATAAAATATTGTAAAGGCTATATTGTATATTATTTTATTAAATAATATGAAAAGAATATTAAAATAGGCTACTACAAACTACTATTACATAATTTTTTATTAAAAATACTCAAATAGACTATTAAAATAAATATAAAAATATTGTGTTTAAATGAAATGCATAATAAAATGAAAATACTATTGTAATATTTCACATTATTTTGATTAAATATTTTGAATATTTTGAATAAATGTATAAATGTATAATTGTATTATTATAGTTAATATATGTGTGTGTGTGTGTGTGTGTGTGTGTGTGTTAACTATTAATAATGTTTTGAAATATATTATAAAATAAATAAAAAAGGCTTAAAAATAAGAATTGGTTGGTAAATGGTTGACATGACTGTAATGTCACTATGTAAGAAAATACAAAAATCTTACAAGCATTGTCTTTAAATTTCGAAAACATCTGGCCATTTTTTTGTAATAAGAATTTGGCAGTAAATTGATGTCACATGACAATAATATTACAGTTAAAAAAAAAAAAAATCTTTTGATTTTAGTGTTAAATGTGACCTGGCATAACTGTGACATTAGTGTTCAAATACATTTTTAGGCCACTATATTTGAATACGATACGCATTTCTTATTCTCATAAATGCAAAAAATTGCTTCCTGAGCATTTTAAAAGCGTGCATTATTCACCTAGATCTCTCAACCCACACACACACACACCTTGACCCACGTGTCAGTCAAGAGTTCTCAATGTTTCTCGCATTTAAAAAGAGAGAGAGAAATACAAATACTGTTGGGTATAATTTCCGTGGTGAAGAATTAAACATACAGGGTTAAAATATTCAGCAGTTTTGAATCCTATGTAACAGCATCAATATAATAGTAGATTATAACAACCAACCAGAAATTTCCGCAATGCTTTTTAAAACACACTGTTCTAAAACAGCTTTACAGGAAACAAAGATGAAGAAAATGAAAGAAAAAGAGTTTAGGTTTGGTGCTGTGCAATGCTGAAGTTGTCCACTAGAGGACAGACTGAAGCTTTGAAGATGACCAGTGGCGCTTCATAAGGCAAGAATCACTACCATTGCTCATATTAAGAGAGAGTAAGAAATTTGAACAAATCCATAACCATAAGTATTAAACTTTGGTGAATAGCTGTTACAAAAATGAATAATATTACAAATTGCGTGGTTTGTTTGGGAGAGATGTGCTATTAGTTTTTCCAAATGATCAGACTTATGATTTTGGAAAATAAAATAGGAAAACAACCTCAAGGCATATTTACAGACTTCATTAGGCTGGAGTCTTTTGACTTGAACCTGCAGAAAAACACCTAGAGCAGTTTGAGGTCAGTAAGATTTTGCTTTGTAAAGAAATTAATCATTTTATTCTGCAAGAATGCATTCAATTGTTTAAAAAACGTTCTATTTATCAAAGAAACCTGATTTTATTTTTTTACGGTTTCCACAAAAATATGAAGCAGCACAACTTTTTTTAACATTGATAATCAGAAATGTTTCTTGAGCACCAGATCATCATATCAGAGTGATTTCTGAAGGATCATGTGACACTGAAGACTGGAGTAATGATGCTGAAAATTCAGCTTTACCATCACAGGAATATATTACATTTTACAATATATTCACATAGAAAACAGTTATTCTTCTTTAAAAAATCTTACCGAGCTCAAACTGATGGATGGATATTAGTATGTTAGTGAACAATATTTGCTCTTTCGCCATATTAATTTCATGTGTATGTCAATACATGCAGTATCTGATCATTCATTCATTCACTAGTTGGAAATATTCCACCCACATTTTAAAAATAGTATCTCATTGGAACATGCTGCTTGTATTTGGCATGGGTTAGTGAAACGCTCCTGAAACCCACTGTGCCAGAATCCCTCTGTGGATCCGTGTTCACTCAAAGAGTCTAATGAACGAGCCGGGGGAGCAGGAATATTCCATATGCCAACATGTTTTCCCACAGAAATCCGCTGTGCTATCATCAGTCAGTTCTGAATAGGTTAGCCTGAGATAAAAGGTCAGATTCTGAACAGGACTGGAGACATGACTGTACCAAACCGAAATAAAGAGCCGTGGAAGACATGAGCAAAAGAAGGCGGGTTCGTGTGGATGCATATGAATATTTGCTCTGTAATAAATGTACTTCTATACACCCATATTGTGGCGCGTACAGCAAACAAGTTGAGACAGATCAATAGAGGCCCTCGCCGTATTAGCTCCGCTTCACAGTAAACAAAGCTGACAGCAGACGCCACGCTTTGGAGGAGTTTGGAGGACAGCGGAGGAAGGGACTTCCAAAGGACAAGATTCATTGCCGTCAAAAATGAATTATGACAGATGTGCTGTGATCTCGGGGAGAACGTGGTGAAGCGAGGTCTGTTTGAGAAGGTACGGCTCCTCGGAGGATTCTGACCTTCTTCTGATCCAGGATTCGAGAGCCGTGTGTGGCTGGCCTGTAAAACACTACATCTGGAGGACATAAAGCCTGAACGCTGAGAAGTTATTTTCCATTGCTGATGTTTAGGACTAACTATATTGGTTGTCAAAGGAAAAACTGAGGATTTTTTGTTTTGTTTTATTATTTTATTAATCATTTCAATATTTATAATTTCATCCTTGTGAAATACAAAAAAATAAAAGGACTGATAGACAGACGGACAGACAGATGGATAGACAAATAGAACGACAGACAAACAGACAGACAGAAGGACGGATGGACAGACATACTGAAAGACAGACAGATGGATAGACAGATAGACAGACAAACAGACAGATGGATAGACAAATTGAATGACAGACAAACAGACAGACAAGATAGACAGAGACAGACAGATGGATAGACAGAGACAGACAGAGAGACAGACAGACAGTCAGACAGACAGACAGGTGGATAGACAAATAGAAGGACAGACGGATAGACAGATAAACAGACAGACAGACACCTGCACAGACAGACAGACAGATAGATAGATAGATAGATAGACAGACAAACAAACAAACAAACAAACAGAAAAAGACATAGATAGACAGACAAACAGACAAAAGAAAGAAACAAATAGATAGACAGACAAACAGACAGATGGATAGACAGATAAAAGGATGGATAGACAGACAAGACAGATAGACAGACAGACAGACAGACAGACAAATTGAATGACAGACAAACAGACAGATAGAAGGATGGAAAGACAGACAGACAGACAGATGGATAGACAGAGACAGACAGACAGACAGACAAACAGACAGACAGACAGACAGACAGACAGATGGAGTTAGACAGAGACAGACAGACAGACAGACAGACAGATTGACAGACAGATTGATAGACGGAAACAGACAGACAGACAGACAGACGGATGGATAGACGGAAACAGACAGACAGACAGACAGGTGGATAGACAAATAGAAGGGCAGACGGATAGACAGATAAACAGACAGACAGACAGACAGACACCTACACAGACAGACAGACAGATGGATAGACAGACAGACAGACAGATTGACAGACAGATTGATAGACAGAGAGACAGACAGACAGACAGATGGATAGACAGAGACAGACAGACAGTCAGACAGGTGGATAGACAAATAGAAGGACAGACAGACAGACAGACAGATAAACAGACAGACAGACACCTACACAGACAGACAGACAAATGGATAGACAGATAGATAGACTACAGACAGATGGATAGATAGAATGACAGACAGACAGAAAGAGAAAAAATATAAAAAATATTATTACGATGTCTAGAAATCAATTTCAATAGTAATTTTGGGTTTAATTTGTCTTTTAATTAAATCTACTAATATAATATATTGTTAGTACCGAGATTTTTCACGTGAATAAATACATAGATCTGCATGATTTATTATTGTGTTCCTTAATGGTCTGGCGGTCAGATCTTTTGCCAAGCGTGTCAGAGGTTACAGGTTCGAATCCGCATTCGTATAGAGTTTTTCCTCATCAAAACCGAATATGTTCATCAGTGCTTAACTGGAGGTGTTTTATTTATTTGTGATAGGTACATCCGTGCCTCGAAATGTTTCAAAAAGTGGTGGGACAATATCCACCCTTAGAAGAAGTGGTGGGGACATGTCCCACCCGCAAATTACGTCTATGGATATGACTCATATTCTTTGTGTCATTTAAATGTCTCAGCTCTAATTGCGCTTGAAATCACTCTTCTTTCTTTCTTTCA